ACAAACATGGTTATGCCTGCATCCCTGATATATGATGTTTTTAATTTGCCATTTTTCTTTCAGACTCAACAGGCACCTTACAACCCTACAATATGAAGAATCAGACACTTCTGAGGGGCTTCTTGCTCCTGAGATTGTCAGACAGCCTGGTGCTGCTGGGCGTGCAGGCTGCTCTCTTCTCCCAGGTCTACCTGGTGGCCACACTTGAGAATCTGACTATCCTCCTCCTCACAGTTCTTGACCACCACCTCCACACCCCCATGTACTTCTTCCTCAGGCATTTGTCTTTCCTGGACCTGTGTCTCATTTCCACCATAGTCCCCAAATCCATTCTCAACTCCATCACCCTCAGTGACTCCATCTCTTTCTTTGGGTGTGTGTGTCAACTCTTCTTGGTGGTCCTGTTGGCAGGGTCAGAAATGGGAATCCTCACTGCCATGTCCTGTGATCGTTATGTGGCCATCTGCCACCCTCTTCACTATGAGGCTGTCATGAGCAAAGCATGCTGCATCCAGTTGATGGCTATGTCCTGGCTCAGTGGAGGGGCCCTGGCACTCTTCTACTCAGTGGGCATGTTCTCCCTGGAGTTCTGTGGCTCCAACAGGATTCACCAGTTTTTCTGTGATGTCCCTGCCCTTCTAGAGCTCACTTGCTCTGGGGAGCATGCTGCTGTCAATGTCAGCCTGGCCCTTGGTGTCCTCTATGGGTTCTCATGTTTGGTTTGCATCGTGGTCTCCTATGTGTTTATTTTCTCTACCGTGTTGAAGATCCCATCCAGGCAGAGCCGGTCCAAAGCCTTCTCCACCTGTGTGCCCCACCTGGTGGTTGTGGGCACCTTTTGCCTAACAGGTGCTGCTGCTTACTTAAAGCCAACCTCTAATGCACCTCCTCTTCTGGACTTGCTGTGCTCTGTGTTCTACACTGTGGCACCCCCGGCCTTGAACCCCATTATCTACTGTCTGAAGAACAGGGACATTCACTCAGCTCTAAGTAAAGTCTTGAGGAAGGCAAGAAGGGGACTAATAGAAGGATATGAAAGTTGAAGCGGGTAGCAACATTCCCACCACCATTTTTCCCCTAACTAGCTGTATGGGGTGATTTCTCTCTAGAAGTCAGTAGATCCTGGGGTCCTCCTTTGGTGATCTCAGGTTGTCAGTTTTAGTACAAAGTAAGTCATTTCCAACACTTTTTCACTTGACAGCTTTTGTGTTACAGAAATTATGGAGGTTTTTCTATTGTGCCTTCAAAGTGTTTTGTTCTTTTCCTGGCCTTCCACATACAGAAGAATTGTGTAATGTTCTACTTTCTCCTAAGCACTTATCTTTCCTGGCTTTCTCTGGATTTTGTCAATGTTTTAGTTTCTGGATTTTTCATTGTGCTTCCTAAGTTTTGTCAATTAGACTTTATTATAATTTCCAATTATCACTCCTCAGTGAAAATTATTTTAAATTAAATTTATGATTTAAACATGTGTGCAATTTTTTAAATGTCCATAATTTTATCACAGGTTTTAATGTTGAATACTTATTTGATGTATTCCATATAATAAAAGATTTAATCTCTCACATTTTTGTTTTTTCTGAAATAAATTATGTTTCTGGATGCAGATGTCTTTCTGTTTACTGAAAGTTGTTTGTCTCTACTATGTGCATTCCTGACATTTTCTGCTTATACATTGGAATCTATGAACATGGTAAGGAGTACTGATTCTAACACTGAAAAGTCCTACTTCTTCCAGACATTCACTATTGTGTGCCATTTCCCTTATCCTCACTGTGCAAAATCGTGTCCTGCTCTGGCTAGACAACACAGTTCTGTCTCCCTGTCAGTCTGCTCACTGCTTCCATCAGGAGAATGAATTCAAGTTTATTGACCGCCTTCTTGATAGCACACAATTTGACACCACCAGTCCTCCCAAGGGCAGGAGGAGCCTCTGGGAGAGCAGGTGGGTCAACTGAGGCCCATGGAGGTGCGGTGTAGCCTTCAGTATGGAGCCCATAACATAGGATGTAGAAAAGGCTGTGGCCACTGGCAATGCCTTCAGGCAATGTAGGCTCACTGAATACCTTTGAAATTTGCTCCTTGTACCTGTCTCATGGACTCTTGTATTTGTACAAATTCAGTGCTCGCTTCAGCAACACGTACTATTTGTACAAATTCTATGCAAATTTCAAAGTGTAGTTTAAATAGAATGTGACTCTGAAGAAGTATAAAGCAATTGATTTCATCTTTTCAATCTCTAAACACATGTGAAAGTCAGAGAATAAAATATGAGTACGTCTATTAAAGTAATGTAAATATCTATTTGAGTACACAAGTTGATATCAAACAAGAACTCAGGTATGTATGCCTGCATGGGGAAGTGAAGCATGAACTCATTAATTTATTCTATTATGAAAATTATAATTCTGAGAATGTCAGTTTTGTTGTTACTTCCCCTTTAACAAGTCTTGATCCTAATTCAGCTTTTTTCAAATGTACAATATAACTAATCAAGTCTTTGAAGAAAAATATTGTATTGAATAAACATATCAACTTTTAGTTGTCTTCTTTTTATAGAAACACTGAATTGAAATATGAAAAAATGTGCATTTGAGAATGAAGGCATTGGGGAATGGCTAACTCTTTACAAGCAGACATAATGACTGATAATTCACACATGTACACATCAGTCACAAATACAACTAATATTTTAAGTAGAAAAATAAGGAAATTAGCTGTCTGATGAAGGAGAGCTGAGATGAGTTTTTATGTTTAAATTCCAGGTCAAGAGAATTGCGACTGGGCTGGGGTCCTCAGGCCCTGCAGAGTCACAGATGGGCTATGTTACCTCTGCTGGGCTGTGTGGTGAATGCTTCCTTGTCATGTTGCATGTCATCCACCTTGTGTATGGGGTTTTCTTCACAACCTCCTGACATTTGTCAGCTGAGATTGTGACACTGTGATTGGTGGAGAACCCTCAAGGTAGTGGTCACTTCTTTGTTGGCTTCCCACATATTTCCCCAAAGGCCTACAATCATAGTGATGATTACAGGAACCCTGGAAATACTGTATCCACATTAACTCAGAGGAGCTCTGGGTGTCTGGGGACAGTTGCTCCTCAGATGGTGAAACTTAACTCAATCAACCTTCTACCCTATGACCCCTCTATGATCTCTACTCTTTAGAGTTCACATATTGGTGAAATTATTCAATATTAATCTTTCACACACTCTTCAACTTGTGCAGGAAAATCCGTGTGTGTTTAGAAGGATTCAAAAACTAATTTTAAGGAAGTTCTTTATCCTAAATGGTGATGATGCTAAATCCTCTAACTCTGGAAAGAGAGTAAATGGAGGTGTTTCCTGACTACTCCTTCCTCGCTGTGTGAAATTTGGCAACATTATTTGGTCAGCATTATGTTTTCACTTGAAATCCATAGGTCAGATACAAGTAATACACTTAGGAGATGTCTATCTCAGCAGCTGCAAATGACAAGTGGGCAAATATTTAGACTTGTTAAAGTAGGGTTATACCACAGTGCTAAAGTGCCAGCATCTAAAAAAAGATAACCAAGAGTTCTTTGGTGAGCTCAGAAGTAAGGAGTGAGAATTTCAGAGGATTAGGCAATGGAAATGCACAAAGCTACAGTCAGAAGTATGGTTGAAGTATTGTAATTTTCCTTTGAATTTTATTAAGAAATAAAGCTTGATCATGTTGTGGAATAGAAATCTAATGTACATAAAATAATTTTTTATTCTAATTCAACACATCATTAACATTTCATGAAAAGAAATATCAAGTGATTTTTTATCTTTTTAAAAGACTTCAGATTATAGGTAAGTATTTAAAAGTAAGTTGGGCTACCCACTTGGGACCCCTCCTGCCCATCAGGAACTTTCCTATCAATAAATATCTTCCTACTTTTAACCTCCATCATTCCTAGGACTCATTCTTTGATTTGTAGAAAACAAGAACTTGGTGTATCATATAGTTAACAGGTTGGGAGATATACATTTCATATTTCATATTTCCTGTGACATTATTGGAGGTCCCACCAAGATAATAATTAATAGGAGGTAAGAGTTTAATTTTATTGATTGCTAAGTTATATTAAGTAACCAAAATTGTCATTCTTGTCACTGCTGGTGCCTTTTGTAAATGTTTTGTACTTTGAGTTCTTATACATTGTTTTGATAAAATGATGATGTTTCTTTAAAAGGATATTTTACTTTTGTAGACAAGGTTTTATGTTTCTTTTCTATACTGATTGCTTGATTGACTTGTTAGACATTGCTGGTGAAAAGCAATGTTAGATCGTCATCTAATGCCCTTTACCAATAATTACTAGTAAATTAGAAAATGTAGTAAAAATAGGTCTCTCTGTAAAATCTAGGTTATAATTGAAAAATATTCATGCCTATTGATAAAATGTGGGACTCCAGCTGTCAATTAATAAGGCACTGGGCCTTAATAAGGCACGAGGCCACAGCCACTCTTAAGACTTTAGGGACCGGTTTCACTGAGCAGTCTGCTGCAATCCTTCTCTATACTCTAGAGAAAATGTTGAGCCAGCTCTGCCTCAATTTCCTTTCTGGTCTGATCTTCCACTGGTGTGGAGACAGTCTTAGCTCTTGAGATTACCTACTCTCACCTTTCCAGGCTGAGAGTGATGACTCAGGGGAAAATTGTTTCAATAACTCACCAAGAGTATGAGAAGAAAGACCACCTTTCCTGATCTCATTTCCAATCTCTCCTGCCAACCTCATAGTCTCCTTTATAGAGGCACGTAAAGTGAGAAAGGGTCTCTGAAATACTCAATGGATTTCTCCTAAGAACCTTTAAGTTAAGTCCTTAGAAAATGAGTGTTCTTGCCAACGCCAAAAATAGGGAAGTCATTTTATATCAAGAATCATACCCCATCTCTGGGTTAGGTGAGACATCAAGGTTTTGTCCATCCAGGAGAGCACATGAATGTGATATCCCCTCTTAGTGCTCTGGGCAATAGTCTTCCTTGGGAGACTACACCTAAGACTCCATGGAAAGAACTGACTTCTGGGTGAAACCAGAAGGAGCTATTTCCCTAAGCACAACACTTAAGGGACCAAAATACATTTAGTTTAAGGGAGAATCTCCTCTCTCTCTCTCTCTCTCTCTCTCTCTCTCTCTCTCTCTCTCTCTCTTTCTTCAGGTCTGGCTCTTATCATTTATGTATGAGAAAAATACTTTGGCTAATAAATTATAGACTAAATGCTGGCAAGACAGGCAGCTAGATTCCTTCCAGGAGACAGATCTCTGATGGCATGGAACTGGTGAAAACTGAGAGGTCAATGCCAGGGCTACTCTCTGGCAGATGCTTGAAGGTCCTTCAGTGGAAACTGGCTCCTGACAGCCCTAATGGGTAATCAGTAGAAAAATCTCCACATAACTATTGTCTGCTAACTGGACTCCTCAGGGAGGTGAAGGTAACCCTTTCAGTGCTCATCAGATATCCTCTGTCTAAGAGTGACCTGAAATGATGATGGTAGGGCCCTTTCTCAAGCCTCCATGAAGAATTGAGCTACAGGACAGGACTGTTCTCTCTCTGCTAATAAGATAGACACAAATAGAAAACAGTAACTTGGTAGAGGTTGTTTGACAAATCTTTTAAAAAGAGACTCTAGAAACTCTGAAGCTCTTGGGAATTAACTTTAGAAATCTTTGGCTGCTTTACTACTAGACTGCACCTCCATAGGAGGCCTTACATGGGACAGGTAACAGAAACGGTTTGCATTTGTGCTTTGCTAACTAGGAATAAAAGGGATCTCAACCAGCTTTTCTCTTCTTCTATGTGCTTGTGGAAACCTGAAGAATTTGTCCTGTGAACTGTGAACAATGTGTAGTCTTTGTCTTGCTGCTGGAGAAAGTTACCTAGGTGATCAGATAGAACAGCTGTCTTGGTGGGTTTCTTTGTGGACAAAGATCCCTGGAGGCTTTTGTCTGCTTCTATCTCTAAAAGTGATCTGTTTTGCAGGGAAAAGGGCCAGTCATTTAATCTGTCTGCCTCATTCTCTTTACGAGATTTGGATAACAGTGACTTAGATACTTTTGATTATTGGTTTTGCTAAGAACGATTCCTTCAAAAATATATAATTTTACAATGGAAATCAATTGTATCTTGGACTTTTGAAATACATATGGGAGTAAAA